GGGGGGGGGGAGGTCCGCAAAGTATTTAACCGTTTTCCTTGTCTTATTAAAGTTGTAGGCCATGCTGGGAAGCTGGTGTTCGGAAACTTGCATGGAACGCCAACTGTGGTGATGCAAGGCCGCTTCCATATGTATGAAGGGTACCCACTGTGGAAGGTGAGTTGCTCCACTCCATTTCAGAATGTAAGATATTGATCCAATCGTAATTTGAGAAACTGGAAAACCAATGAATTATAATAAGAGGTCCAAGTGTCTCTGAGCCCACTCAAAGATACATTTCAGCACTATTGGCCCAAAATTTAAAAAACAAAATACAAAAGGAAGTCTCCAAAGTGAACTTTCAGCTAATTGTCAGGATTCCAGCAATTGCTCTAATTAAATCATGATCCTCGAGCCAAACTTAAAAAAACTTCAAAGGATTTATTAGAGGCGACATACTGGCACTGCCCTGTATGAAGCCAACTCTGGCATACATAATTTATAGTCACCTGTGACTGTGTTCCCCCCCTCCCCCTGGGTGTCTCATAAACCAGATTCTCCAATTGAACATGTTCACGGGCTGGGTGTCATCATTCATGTTCTCCAATTAAATATATCTGTGGTCAAAAACTCTGGTATTTTAGTTACAATCTTTTAAAGGTAAGAGTTGGAATGTATTTCCACTTTCAAACTGCTGTACTGCTCTTCCAAATTTCCTTCCTCCCCCCCCCCCATTTTTTATGGCAACTACTAAAACAGGCATAGGAATGTTTTATAAGTTGACACTAATCTTCTTCAAAGACATTTACCTTGTAATAAGCGGTTTCTTTGCTTCCTCCATCTACTTCGCTTTCCTTGGAACTCCATAAAAAACATACAGATTCTGAAGCAGATTCCCAAGGATATTTGCAAATTTAAAATCTTTAGTCACGTCATCAACGTTCTGCTTCTAATGGTATCATATGCTGTGAGATCTACGAATATAGTCCCTGTTACATTGCCCTGAAGAGCTGACATTGTATCTCAGTGGTCGGGAAAGGACAAAGACAGATTCCCGAATTTTTGAAAGCAGAAAATTTAGGTCAGGGGTGTCAAACTGGATTTCTTTGAGGGCTATTTTCAGTCTGGACAGCCTCCTGCAGCACCCTGCTGGAGAAAACAGGGCGTTGGGGGGGTGCATGCTCCCCCCGGTGCCATTTTTGGCCTGGACGGTCTCCTGCAGCATCCTGCTAGCCAAAATAGGGTGCAGGGGGGGGGGCTCAGGTGCATCCCCTGTGCCCTGTTTTGGCTCACAAAGTGCTGCAAGAGCCTCTCCAGGCCGAAAATGGGGCACGGGGGCCCCCAAGCGTGCCCTCCCGGTGCCCCATTTTTGCTAGCAGAGGCCGGTCCTTTGCAATAGCCAGCCCCATGGGCCAGATCTAAATAGCCTGCGGGCCGGATCCAGCTTGTGGGCCTTGAGTTCGGCACCCCAGGTTTAGGTGGTGAATCCAAGTGGTCTTTCTTTGTTAAGTGTTTAGACACTGTTCTCCTTCAAAAGAGGCTACGGACGATTGCAGGCAATTTCGGACAGATGGATTCTTTGCTTAGAACACGTCAGAAAACTGGGATGCGCTTCCAGTAATCCTGCCCTCACTCCATGCCACGATGCCCCTTCAGGATCTTTCCTTTGTTTTCTCCTTCTAGGTGACCTTCCCAGTTCGGATCTTCCATCTGCTTGGCGTTGAAACCCTGATTGTTACCAATGCGGCTGGGGGGCTCAATCCTGCCTTCAAAGTGGGGGACATCATGGTGATCCAGGACCACATCAACATGCCTGGGTTTTCTGGGCAGAACCCTTTGATCGGACCGAACGATGAAAGGTAATGTGAACTTTTCACCCTTCTTGTGTTTTCTTTCTTTCTTGCTCACTGGAGAAAACAGTTTCTTTACGGCTCTTAAGTGACAGCTTCCAGAATAGATTTGCAATTGGACTACAGATAGTCCTTGACTTACATCGACAGTTGGGACCAGAACTTCTGTCGCTGTAGTGGAATGTATCCTGGAATCCCAGGAGGGAAGGGACGACTTCCAAGTAGGCAATGAGACAGTGGAGGTTGAAATGTCTAATAGGCAGGAAGAGGGCTAAAAGACGGACCCTTCCTAGCAGTTCGCATAATATATCTATAAAGATAATCCTTGATTTTTCAACCATTCACTTACCAAAGTTACAAGAGCATTGAAAGTGTGATTTACGACTATTTTTCACACTTACAAACATTGCGGCATTCCCATGGTCACATGGTCATCATGACCACATCATGGTCATCAAAATTTGGATGTTTGGCAACTTCCAGATATTTATAATGGTTGTAGTGCCCCAGGGTCATGCGATCACTTTTTGTGACCTTCGGACAAGCAAAGTTAGCGGGGAAGCCAGATAGCAATACTTATATACCACTTTGAAGTGCATCAGAGCCCTCTAAGAGGTTTACAAAGTCAGCGTGTTGTCCTCAACAATCTGGGTCCTTGTTTTATTGACCTCTAAATGGAAAGAGCTAGTCCTAATTTCCTTTTATCAGTGTTGTCATAGCTTCAAACAGTTGTTAAATGAATCATCTACCTGCAAGCTCAGCTTACAGCATTAGGGCCAAGACAAGGAAACTTGTATTCAGTTCAGTGAGTGTCTCCCCAACCTTTTATGAACGTGTAATGACCCGGGGCGTGGCACAAAGGCAACAAAGTCAGAGAATCAATAGGAGTCCCTTTATTAGCTCCAACTTTGCCCCCGATGTCCTGGTTACCTTCTGGGCTGGAGAAAAACTCTCTCAGGCATAGCCTTTGGCTGCAGAGAATCAAGTCTAAAACGTGGTCAACAAAAACTGTAACTATAAGTCCAATCAGGGCAAGAAAAGGAATTCCAGACATGAAAGAACGGCAGTAATTCAATACGGCTGGGAGGATGCAAGGAACGCAGATAACCAAAGTCAGCACAAGATAAACTCATGTTTGTTCCCAGCAGACATGGCACTCAGCTTGCATCTCTTTTAAACTCTCATTCCCAGGTGTGACTAATGAAGGGAACCAGGGCCCTTTTCTCCCCTGTAAGCCACACAACCCACGTTGCTCTCTTCTCTGTTCCTCCCTGCGTGCCCTTGGATGAAGAGGGGGTGGGCCTGGGTCTTCCTCTGAACTCCCTCTCGTTCTACCTCTCCCCTGTTCTGCCCAGCTGAACTTTGCCCTTTCCCAGTTTCCTCCACAGCCAACAGAGCCATACTCCTTGTCATGCCCCTGTTACAATCTGACTCTGAGGGTGAGGAGGAACAGCCGACAGGGAGTGGGAGTGTGGCTCCAGAGGTTGTGGAGGAGGCTGGGGAAGGGCACAGGCCGGCTGGGCATTCAGTGGAAGACCCAGGCCCATCCCCTATTCATCCTAGGGTACACAGGGAGAGGCAGGTAAGGGAAAAACGTGAATGGCGTGGTCTACGGGGGAGAAAAGGGCCTTGATCCCCTTCATGGGTTGCAGTTGTGAGGACTATTTAAAAGGACAAACTACGCATGGGCCAGTGCTGGAAGCAAAGCATGAAAATATTTCTAGTCTGTCAGTTCTTATCTGAGTTCTGGCGTCCTTCCCAGTGTAGTATTTTGATATCTATGGAGGTCTTCAAGCCCTTATCCTGCCTTGTCTCATTAATTCTTCAGTGTGGTTTGTGTTGTTTTTTTCCTATTTATGATTTATACAGTATTTTGAGTTTGAACGGAAGTTCTTCCTTTTTACAACTGTTTGTGGGGGAGTTTTTTCTCCAGTCAATGATTATTGGAGCTTTGAAGCTAAGTTGAAGGAATTAAAAGGACTTCACCTGTTTTTGTGACTTTGTTGCCTTTGTATCCCACCATGGGTCATCACACTACCGCTTCCTGTCAGCTGTTCATCTTCCTCCTCGGATTCAGACTCCCAACAGGGGCATGACAGAATGTTTCTGATTTAAACAGAATGATGGGCTGCTTTTCAGATGCAAATAAAGGAACGCAATCCCATTGACTCATTTTTTTTGTGTTGATTTCTGCAGGTTCGGCGTCCGCTTTCCAGCCATGTCAGATGCCTACAATGAAGACTTGAGAAAACTGGCTGTCACGGTGGCTTCTGAAATTGGATGTTCCAGCTGCATGAGAGAAGGGGTCTACTGCGCCCTGGGAGGCCCCAACTATGAGACCATTGCTGAATGCCGCTTCCTGCAGAGACTGGGTGTCGATGCTGTTGGTTAGTCAAGGACAGGGATAAGGGGAAATGTTCCTCCTGGGGCATAGATAAAACCAAGTCTTCCTCCCTGGCCTGATTATTATTTTTTTAGGCAAAAGTACAGCCAGTCCTCAACCATAGCTGAGCCCAAAATTTATGACTTTCCTTGCCACTGCTGTGAAACGCTGCAATTGTTAAGTCGGTCACACAGTTGTTCAGCGAATCTGGCTTCCCCATTGACTTTGCTTGTCAGAAGGTCGCAAATAAGGGGATCTGATAACCCCGGGGCGCTGCTGCAATCGCCATAAATATTCAGTTGCCAAGCGTCTGAGTTTTGATCATGTGACCCTGGGGATCCTGCAATGGTCATGTGAAAAACGATCATAAGTTACTTTTTTCAGTGCCGTTGTAACTTCGAACGGTCACTAAATGAATGGTTGCAAATTGAGGACTATCTGTAAGAAAACAATAAAGGTAGGATCTAAATAAAATGATAGGATACGATAGAAAATGGAATGGAATGGAATGAATTGGAATAGAATAGAATAGAATAGAATAGAATAGAATAGAATAGAATAGAATAGAATAGAATAACAGAGTTGGAAGGAACCTTGGAGGTCTTCTAGTCCAGGGGTCTCCAACCTTGGCAACTTTAAGACTTGTGGACTTCAACTCCCAGAATTCCTGAGCTAACATGACTGGCTGAGGAACTCTGGGAGTTGAAGTCCATAAGTTGCCAAGGTTGGAGACCCCTGTTCTAGTTCAACCCCCTGCTGAGGTAGGAAACCTTATACCATTTCAAACAAATGGTTATCCAATCTCCTCTTAAAAACTTCCGGTTTTGGAGCACCCAGAATTTCTGAAGGCAAATCGTTCTACCAATTAATTGTTCTCATGAGGTAATTTCTCCTCAGTTCTAGGTTGCTTCTCTCCTAGGTTAGTTTTTCCACGGAGAGTATTATCCTCCTCTTCCTCCTCCTCCAGTTTGGTGGCATGTTAAGAGAGCTGTGTCCCTGTCCTTCCCGATGCTCCTCCTGAACCCGTTCTTCTAATGCTTTCCCTCTTTCCTTCCCCCTTTCAGGCATGAGCACAGTACCCGAGGTCATTGTGGCCCGTCACTGCGGCCTCCGAGTTTTTGGCTTCTCCCTCATCACCAACAAAGCCATTCTGGATTATGACACCAAAGAGAAGGCCAACCACGAGGAAGTCTTGGAAGCCAGTCGCCAGAGCGCCCGTACCCTTGAGAAGCTGGTCTCCATGATGGTGCAGCGCATTGAACACAACAACAACCTTGCCTAGGGCCCATCCAGCTCACAGTCCTCCTCGTGACTTTGGGCAAGGAGAGAATATGCTTCTTTTTATTCAATCCTACTGCTAAGATTCCTACTCTGGGATGGTGCAGACATTTTAGGAGTTGCCGAGAGTTGGAATTCTAATCTTGACTATTGTCCGCCTCTGACCAAGAAGTCTATTATTGTCTGCCTGTTTTTGTCCTTTGGTGTGTTGCTTCTGCATGTGGGTAGTTTGAATCCCTTCCATCTCATCTGTTCTCTGTAAAAGTCCTCCAGAAAACCCCTTGAGGGAGCAGACCACACAGTCACCTCATGTGGGCTTGTTTTACTTTAAAATGGGGAATGTGTGAGGAATCTAGAAGTCCTTTTCTCATTTCATAATAGCCGTTCTCTCATCAGGAACCTAGCAAGAACTGGCTGCTTGTTTTTAAGGTGCCATTTTGTTTTTGGTTACAGCTTTGGGTTCAGTTTTCTGAATCCTAAAATTATTGAAGGCGAGTCAAAGACCACCAAATTCAGTTTGTTATATGTTTGGGTCTTCTCTTGTGCATGGGCATTTTGAACATAAAGTCTTAACTGTTATGCAATAACTTGTTCTGGCCTCTCATGTTTCCAATACTTGAAATGTAATTCATGGCTTCTCCTTGCAAGTTTCCTTTGGTCCTTGAGGTTATCTGTTGAATCTGCATATTAATGTCTTGGATTAACTTATTTCCAACCGTGCTTGTGCTCCAAAGAAACTACTGAATTGCTCAGAATTTGAACCCACCATCTTCAGGCAATAAGCCGGCGAGATCACGTATTCACAAAATGTAGATGACAGGGATAAGTGAATGTCAGGATCTATGTCAAATTTAACCCACCTGGATGCACCTCCCTATCGACTAAAATAAAAGACTCTCCTCCATATAAAAATCAAGTGCATTCTGTTTAGGTTAGAACTCTGAATTGCTAAGCATCCTCTGTGGGGGAATCTGTTTATTTTTTCTTCAGAGATGTCTAACCCTAAATTTGAATCTTCGCTAAGGATATGTGGAGATTCTCAATTATCCAGATGATGGTTGTCCCAAAGGTGCTTTTTCAAAAGGTAGTGGACTTTGTTTTTCCTTGAAGAGGTTTTGCTTTTCATCCAAGAAGCTTCTTCATGTTCTTGGATGAGAAGCAAAAACGTCTTCAAGGAAAAACAGCCTAGTTGCCTCTTGAAAAAACATGTTTGGGGCTCTTTTGTAAGGCAAAATCGGTAAGAAGTAGACAAAGGCCCTACTTAGTTGTGTCTCACTGTCTTTTATGACCACAGTCACATGTTCTGTTTTAAGGAAAAGTAGGCATTCTTGTGTGTTCTCTCTTAATTTCCCTTAGTTTTCAGATCTACCAGGTTCTCAATCAGGTGACGGGAGGGTAGTTAAGCATGGATTTCCAGTTCTCTAACAAGCAATGTGATTGGACCATTCAACTTGCTGGTCCACAGAGAGGTGGTCAATGCATATTTTTTGCAAGCAGCTGATAGTCTGGAGAATCCCAAATTCGTTAGTGAGCATGTTCAGCTCTATACAGAGATTCATTTGCACCTAGCTACTTTCAGGTCAGGTAGGGGAGTTCATCTCCTGTCCTCTGCCCATTTCTGGGAAAGGGGAATTCTCTAATTTGTTACTGCTTTTAATCATATCTTCTTAGCCTAATAATTCTGCCGGTCTTCAGGGGAAGAGGAGGCAAATGATGGTGCATAGTGATGATGTCATCAGCCACTTATCATTTTGACATCATTGTGGCTTGTTTCAAACATTGGCGCTGCTCACAGTTCTTGTTTGGAGCTCGTAGTGCAGGGCTGTCAAATTTGTGACCTGCAGGCTGGGTGTGTCATGTGCTGGCCATGCCCCCACCCGGTTTAGCGAAGGGGAAAAAAGTCCCGATATGTCACGTGGTGATGCCGTGAGTTTGATACCCCTTGTCCTAGTGAGTCACCTTATGCATCTTTGTCTGAAGGAGTATGTCTACAGGTCTGGTGGAAATGTCTTCTTCTAATGTGGTCCCTAGGACTCAGCAGCTTTTTTTGATTCAAGAAGTTGTTTCTGTTGGAGGGGCCAATTACTTTCCTAAATTTGTTGCATTCTGGGATGAGACACACTCATTAGGGACAGAGATGTTGGACAGGAGATCGACTGATGTGAAAGTTTATGGCTCAGATTTTGGCAAAGGCAGATATGAAACAGTGTAGGGGACAAACCAGTTGTGGAATAATTCTTGTGTGTTCTCATTCTGTCAGGTGGAATTTTTTGCAAGAGAGAGGTTAATTTTAGCTTCAGCTCTGCACATGCAATTTCCCTTTGAGGCACAGTGGCCAAGTCCAGCTGAAAAGCTTGGCTTAAAAGAGACCTTCCTGAAATCCAGACCCCCATATAGTCTTTTAACCTTTTCTGTTGCATAAAGGTACTATTCCAAAATGCAATTTTGATTTCTGCTTGCAAATCCTCTTTCTCCCCTGTTCGCCTTTCTGAATTCCTCTTTCCTTTTTCTCTTCTTTCACCCTGGACTCATAAACAAGCTCTTGCCATCTTTCAACTCAGGTTGAGGAATCAAAGCAGACCGAAAGGAAATTGACAATGAATGCTAAGCTTGAATGTTTTCAAATGAGACCTTAGGAATATATTTTTTTAGAGCGTCCACAATCTGCACTTTTTATTTTATTTAAACTACTGTAATGGAGCCCCCCTTTTATTAATTATAATGTAACTAAATAATAAAGTTAAGTTGGAATGAGAAGACTATTGTGGTTTGTATCAGTCATTTTTGGTACAATGGCGAAGAAAGAGAGAAAGCAGTTGTGAGTTTATTCAGAGCAATTTCTTTCTCAAGTTTCCAAATACTTCAAATACTTGGAGTAGGGTATCCAGTTTTTGTCACCACGATGTAAAAAAGATGTTGAGACAGTCTAGAAAGAGTGCAGAGAAGAACAATAAAGATGATTAGAGGACTGGAGGCTAAAGCATATAAAGAATAGTTGTTGGAATTGGGTATGTCTAGTCTGATGAAAAGAAGGGCTAGGGGAGAGATAATAGCAGTGTTCCAATATCTCAGAGGCTGCCACAAAGAAGAGGGAGTCAAGCTATTCTCCAAAGCCCCTGAGGGCAGGACAAGAAGCAATGGGTGGAAACTAATCAAGGAGAGAAACAACCTAGAACTAAAGAGAAATTTCCTGACAGAACAGTTAATCTGTGGAACGACTTGCCTCCAGAAGTTGTAAATGCTCCAACACTGAAAGTTTTTAAGAAGAGATTAGATAACATTTGTCTGCAGTGGTGTAGGGTTTCCTACCTAAACGGGGTTGGACTAGGAGACCTCCAAGGTACCTTTCAACTCTGTTATTCTATTCTATTTTATTAACTAGATAACATCATCCATGCTAGCACTGTGACTAGCACTGATGATGTTACCTAGTTTGGGTAATGAAACATCTGCAAGAAAATAACTAAGTTTAGAGCACCAAGGACTCCTAATGTTTATTTATTAAATCAATGGACGTGCCTGAACAACCTCATCTGATACAAAAATGATCAAGACACAAAACCTCTCAGCCTAGATCCTGGAGGTAAAGTCTTCTGAAAGGCAGATAGAGTTGGGATCATATGAATCTATTGGAGAATGCTATTTTATAGGACAGGCATATCTCCTGGTCCCACCAGGTGTTGAGTACTCAAATGACAGGACCCCAATTTTATTGGAAAGGCAGAAATCATTGGAAACAAGCAGTTCCTCCAACAACCAAGCCTTGCACCTTGGAGGACTTTATAGCTCATAACCAGCAATTTAGAATGACACCCAGAAGTCTCTTGATAACCTGCACACAAAGGTGCGCATAACTTCCTATATTGCTGAATTCTGCACCAGCTGTAGCTTCTGAGCCATTTTCAAGGTTAGCCTTGAAATGCAAGTCCCACATAGAGTGCATTGCAATAATCCACACAAAAAACAACAAAGGTGTGTGGATGACCATGAATATGGCTTCCTAGTCCAGGTAGGGTGCAATTAGCACACCACACCGATTTGTGCAAAGACCTTGTCAAATTCATAGCATCCGAGGCAGGTAGATTTCTCAAAGAATACTTATGTTGGAAATATATTGGCACATATCTGGTGAAAACCAACTGAAAACTCCTGTGGTTTTTACCTAATTAAAAATAAAAGATTTTCTACTTTCTCAAAACTATCAGTCACATGGTCCAATCACTGTGCGGTCTAGCAACCGGGTAGCATTACTCCGCCTTCCACTGACTGTGTGAGAATGTTGTTGGTTCCCAAGAGAAAGTATTTTGTTTTCACTACAAAATCCCCTCTATCTCAAGCTCCCTCTCCCTCTCCTTCAGTTCCAGTGTGACTGAAGCAGTCAAAACAGCTTCTGTCAGGCCAGCTTCAGGGTTGACAACCCTCTGAGGTGTGGCTTCTGTTTGCTCTTCAAGTAGGAGTTATAAATCTGGGAGGATTTCCCAAAATGTACCCTGGTTTGTCTATGGTTGTATCAGCCCAAAGTGAACCAAAGATGGAAATTCCCTGGATCTAGGTAGCCCCAAAAACAGCATCCAGATCTCCCTACTTCCAGAAACCAAAAATATTGCAGTGGCATCACTTGGACAATTGAGTTCAGAAGTATAACTCCACATCAGTGGATGATTTCACCTGATGTAGATGTTCAAAGGGAGATGACAAAAAATCAAGTTTAAGTACATCCAGAGCAGGAGCTGAAGACTGGATCTCTCCCTCCCATCAAGACCAACTGGGACAACCCTGGAAAAATGAAAAAAACTAGAACCCCAACTCTTAAACCACTCCAGAAGGATACCATGATTGATATCAAATATTCAAAAAGGATCAGGACGGATCCCAATCCTGCTATAATGTAGGTAATCTACAACAGTGATAAACAGAGGTGGTATTCAGCAGGTTCTGACCAGTTCTGGAGAACTAGTAGCTGAAATTTCGAGTAGTTTGGAGAACCAGCAAATACCACCTCTGACTGGCCCTGCCCCCATCTATTCTCTGCCTCCCGAGTCCCAGCTGATCGGCTAGCTCTTCTTTGGTTGCCCTGCACAGGAGAACAGAACTGGAAAGCAGGTTAGTGGGGTGGGGAGGGAATGGAGATTTTATAGTATCCTTCTCCTGCCATGCCTACCAAGCCACACCACACCCACCAAGCCATGCCAACAGAACTGGTAGTAAAAAAATTTGAATTCCACCACTGGTGATAAATACTGTTTTGGTACTGTCTCATTGTATAAAGTCCAATTGAAAAAAAAATGCCCTGATAAGTTTCTGCAGAGATCTCTTGAAGCTGCAAGCCATCTACGGTTTTTCTCAGAAAGGAAATGACGGAGATGGTTTGGAAATTGTCCAAAATCCTAGGGTCATAATTATTTCTTGAGGAAAGAGTAGGTCATTACTTCCTTAAGCAGAGACTGGATTATTTCTTAGATCCATCACTATTACATCATAAGAGGATGTGATCAACCAGGAAGGACATGGATCTAATAAGCATCATCATTGCTTATTATTGACATCTCTCAGACACTACAACCAGAGTCTAATTCTTACTAAATCTTGTCTGAATCAGCTCAATTAGATCTGTCCATCTGGAGTTCAACTCAGAGCAAACCTAAGTGCCTCTCAACTGACACCTTACTCATAGTAACCCTAAGCATAGTTTACTGATTAATTTACACTTGGATGATGCATAATTATGTTTATAAATCACAGTACTGGGATTCAAACAACATTTAAAGTGTACTAATCACTGAATGTGTCAGACTTCATCTGTAGTGCTGTCAAGTCCTGGGCACCATGTTTCCAAAAAAGTCAATGAGTTGGAGGATGTACAAAGAAGATGAGGTGTCCAGAATGAGGAAGGATTAGAAGATCTGGGTTATGTTTTGTCTACAGAAGAGACAGCTGAAGGAAGTTCTTGAAATAATATTCAACTTTCTGAGTGGTTGTCAATCAGAAAATAGAGTGGATTTATTTCCTGCCCTAGAACCAATGAATCATTAAGTCTGGTTAGATAATTAGAGAGAATTCCTGATTGTATGAATTGAGGAACTCAAAGAGTTGATGAAATTGTAAAGTTCAGGACCTCATCCCTGACTAAATTCATCACTGAGGCTTCCTTGTGGGACATAGGCAGAGGTGGTATTCAGCAGGATCTGACCAGTTCTAGAGAACTGGTAGCGGAAATTTTGAGTATTTCGGAGAACTGGCAAATACCTCCTCTGACTGGAGATTTTACAATATCCTTCCCCTGCCACGCCCACCAAGCCATACCCACAGAACCGGTAGTAAAAACATTTGAATCCCACCACTGGACACAGGACCATACAGAGACCTGGAAGGATGTCCTCCAACTGTTGAAATCCAGTCTTTAAGAGATAGTGGAGATGTATCAGTGTGATGACCCCAAGGTTTCTGAGAGGCAAGAATGATTTGGCTAGGTAAGAGTTATTTTGGAAGTTGCACCATGCCCAACACCAAGTGTACCGTATCAAACTTCATCTTACCCAGCACCATTTTCTGACAGACCAGTCTCCAAAGGGGATCCATATAAACCAGGCAGAGTCTAAAAATCATGGGCCAGAGAAATCCCCCATAAAGACATTCCTGGGTATGTTACAGAAGCTGGGAATGCTGGTATGACTGGATAGAACAAAAATAGAAAATATATTAGTAAATAACGTAAAATGTAAATCATAATTCTATATTCGCAATAAGATGTATTTGTAAATGTATCACCAATATTGATAACAAACAAGGAACCATAGACTGTCGATAGTAGAATTGTTAGTTTTTTAATCATTTTCTTTTTTTCTATTTCTTTTCTTTCTTCTTCTGTGTGTTGTGTTTGTTTGATATTTTAGTTTTGTAATCAATAAAGTTTGTTTAAAACAAAACAAAACAAAAAAAGATATTCCTGGGTAATGGTGGCAAAACCTTTCAACCCAGAAGCTCCTTTTGGTTAGTTTTGTTGGTGCTTCTGACACAAATACAGCGTGGTTGCCATTCTAGTAACTGGGTGTGAGAGTGGATAGACCTGTTTTGGCTGGGAAGGATACCCAACTCATGATTTTTATAATGCTCACTTACTTCTCAAACTCAACAGCTGATCAGGGAACCAGGAACACAAAATGCTGTTTAACAAAGGCCACCAGAGATATTATTGAAGGGTTTTTTCCCCCCAGTGGAAAGATCGGAAAGGAGAGTTGGTGTTTGCAGTGATTGGACAATCATCTGTCTGAAATGGTTTAGGGTTTCCTGTCTGAGCAGGGGGTTGACTAGAAGACCTCCAAAGTCCCTTCCAACTCTTGTTATTCTGTACTGATGGAAATCTTTATCTCATATTTGGAGGAAAAATTAGCAAAGTATGTATGAGATATTTTCCTTTAGGAGAAAAAAAAGATCAAGAGTCGTCCTAGATAGACAGCCTTATTCTGATTGCAAGGACTTACCCAGAGCCTGCCCTAGAATCAGGAATATCCCTGAGGAGATGGAGCTTCAGCAGAAAAAACAACAACCAGATGTGGATTCATGGCTCCAAATGGAACAGTGAGTTAGAAGTCTATTTTGGGAAACAGTGGATGGGAGCCATCAATAAAACCTCTGGAAGGAAGAGACCTCAAGTAGTTGCTCTTGAAGTTGAAGTGAGATGGGTGGCATATAAATTTAACTAATAAAAAAGTAAAAGACTGTAATGTTGAAAGTCTCTCTCTCTCTCTCTCTCTCTC